GGGGGGGGGGGGGGGAGGACAGGGTCCCTCTCCCACTTTCGTCGCTTGGTAAGCAGTGGAGAGGGGTGAGTAACTCCTTCGGTGGCGCTCGCCACCACCTAGAGGTATTTGTTAATGTCGCCGACAATGGTAACGGTACGCCCAGGAAACATCTTCAAAAGCTCTGCGAGGCACTCGTCGCGGCAGGCCCTTGCGGCGTCCAGCAGAGCGTCCACCTGCGGTGCAAGACGCCGCAGTTCGTCCTGAATCTGCTTTACTCTATCCTCAGCACTGCTATTTCGCATCGCCGCCGCCGTGATCCCCCGCTGCAGCCGCTGCACCTCATCAAGGAAAGAGAGTCGAAGGGTGGCACTTGCCTTCATGCGTACAAACGCCGCCTCTGTCGATGTTGTTAATTTTTGCTCCAGAGCTTCCGCAACTGCCACAGCTTCAGCAAGGGAATCATCGCCCATCAAGGATCGTTCCGACGCAAAGCAACGTAGCGCCTGCAACTCCGTCAGTATGTGCTGCCGGTGGGCAGCATTCGACACATTCATGGAGAAGATCCCTACTATCTTTGCCGGTGGTTTTTCATCATCAGCGTTACTTTCACCATCTGTGGGTCCGTAAAGGTCTTCCTCTCCTTCATTTTCATCCCACTTGATCTCCATGGCCGCGTCAATGTCGATCGGACCCGACACGCCCATATCGCCCCAATCAATGCTGCACGGCTCAGAGTCCTCCTGTACCACCATCGGTTGGCAATGCTGCTGCTCCACCACAGTTGAAGCATAAAGGCGCTCCTCAAAAACTCGCTCCAGCCAAGGCAAGTGCTCTGAAAAGACGTCTCTGTCGTACATGCCCATTGAGAATTCCCTTGCGATACTTCCATAGGCCTCACGGAAGGCTGCGAGGTGAACACTAGCGCCAAATTCCCGCAACCCTTCATTAAGAAGAGCCGTGCTGGCAGTTATCCTTGCATCAACAGCCGCATTTAGTGCATCATCTGACGTGTTGCCCCCATGCTCAAGGCCGTACTCCTGCAGGAGTCGCATCTGTTTCTCCTCAAGGCTGCATGCTGCTTTGGTTGCGTCTTCAATGACTCTAAAGGAGTCATCCAAAGCATTTGTCAGCTTCTTTTGCTGTCGTTGTTGTGCAGGTATGTCATAGCGCACCAACTGTTCCAATTTGGGGGCCAACTCCAGGAGACGTGTGTATTCATTCTTGTGTTTTTTTCCAAGCACTGCCTTTCGATCATTAAGCCACTCCTCCATTCGCTGGTAATGCACCGTGATGGCCTGCTGTTCCATGTCGCGTTTTTTGTTTGTTTGTTTTTTCACCCTCCCCCCTTCAACGAAGACAGTGTTAATTGTGTATTAGAATGAAGAAAGGAACAAAATCATGTCAACAGTAAGTACACTCATTCATATATATATACATATATCGAAATATGCATCTATTTCGCACAACACACGCAGGGGGACAGTTGAAAACGTCATGCCCTATTACCACTACCTCCTCTATTGGCACGCTACTACAACCAATATGCGACAAAATGCCGCCTAATGCTATAGCTTGACGCCAGTGCAGCCTTACTAGTGGTGATGCTTCAAGGCAGCAATAATTGCCTCTAGAACGGATATGCGAATTTCAATTACGGACCTGGCCTTCTCGTCCTTGGCAGAAGCTAACGAGGACTGCTGTGCAGCAAGTGCACTTTCAGCAGCAGCAGGATCAAGATCCTCCATGGGGACACATTCCACAGTATTCACGTCACACGAGCCCTCATTGTTGATGTGCGCAAATCCACCACTGACAAAGAACTTCGTTGTCGTTCCATCAGTGTACTCCACTGTCAGTGGAGAAGGAATGAGTTGAACAATCTTGTATGCATGGCCAGGGTAGATGCCGTACTCACCATTTGCACCACTCAGAGTGACGCACTTGACGGGATCCTCACGCATGAGAAACTCATCTTGGCGTGTAAGAGTGAAGCGCAATGTTTCCAGGTTTTCATACGGAGCGTGAATATCCTTGTCCACAACCTTGTTCTCCATGAACTCAAATCCCTCTGGTAGGTCGTGTGGTGCCAGCTGCAAAAGCGGCAGCGTGCGGGAAACGAGACGCCGTCCAAAAACGCGGAACATGATTTATCACCTACTTCCAAAGCAGCAGCGAGTCCAAACAGAAAACGAAAAAAACAAACATATATGAGTGCATAGTGGCAATCTGCAATGGGTCTCATACAGCAACTCTGCAAAGAAGAGGCACACAACAGAGCAAGTATTAGGTAAGAAAAACAAAGAAAAAAAACGAAAAATGTAGGGTAATCGTTTCATAGTTTGTGTCTACAGACGGCGACCGCGGCGAGAGCCCTTGCGGCGCGTGGAGTCGGTCGGGATTGGCGTCACGTCCTCGATGCGGCCAATCTTCATGCCAGCACGGGCAAGGGCACGCAGCGCGGCCTGGGCGCCGGGGCCGGGGCTCTTCGTGCCCACACCACCGGTCGCGCGCATCTTCACGTGCAGTGCGTTGATGCCGCACTCCTTGCAGCGCGCCACCACATCCTGTGCAGCCATCATGGCAGCGTACGGCGAGCTCTCATCGCGGTCCGCCTTCACCTTCATACCGCCAGTGATCTTGCAGAACGTCTCGCGACCGGACAGATCCGTCACATGGACGAAGGTGTCGTTGAAAGAGGCATAGATGTGCACGACGCCGTACACCAACTCATCCTTTGCGGCGCTAGAGCCGTAGAACTTCACTTCCTGCTTCTTGGACATACCTATGAAACGCTGTGATGAGGTGGAGAATAAGAGAAGCAATCGGTCAGGTCATGCCGAGCAATACAGCACCACGCCACTCCTACAGCCCAACAACACATCCAAACTCATTCCACGTGCGAAATAACATGGGCTGACACTTGTGGAGCTTAGTGCTCGTTAGTTGTTGTTTCTTTTCCCTTTGCTTTATCCAAAAAAAAAAAGCGAAAGAAAGTGTACCATGAAAAGCTCTACATCCTTCTCTGCTTATCTCTACGATCCTCTTTCCGTCGTCTTCTTTTCTTTTTTCACTCACTTCCTTTCGTTTTCTATCCAGCTTCACCATAGCGGTGTGGGAGCAACCCCGCATCGGCGCAGCACCTCTACTCCCTGCCTCGGTCCACACCACCGTCACTGTCGCCGCTTTTGGTGCTCTGCTCTGCCGCAGAAGATACCGCACCGTCCTCGCGGTCCGCAAAGTGCCCGTCGCTGCCATCATCCGCATCCTCCGAGAGCAGACGAATAACCTCAGCCGCCGCCTCGTGTGCTGCCGCGTTGTCTAGCCGCTTCCCAGAAAGCACAGCCTGGATGTCAAACACCGTGAGCCCGCGCTTCTTCAAGGATTCCTGGTTGAGAATCGGATGCTCTACCCAGTACCGCATGGCATCCGCGTCCTCCTCCACACTATCCACCTCTTGCCCCTCTCTGCAGGCCTCCTCATCCTCGTCATCACTCCCATCATTATCATCATCAACATCATCATCAACATCATCATCATCATCATCATCATCATCAACAGCAGAGTCATCAGATACCTCAGAAACTTCTTCGTCATTTGAACTCTCATCCCCTCCTTCAGGATCGACATCTGAAGAGACAAAACAGAATGGTGAGTAGTCATCCTCTTTGATCTCGAAAAAGTGCTCAAAGTTCGCAAGCATCTCTGTTGCGGTTGCTCGCTTTTGTGGATCAAACTCGAGCATCGGAAGAAGAAACTGCGCAATTTCTCCTGCCTTTTTGCGAGTGAATTTGTGCTTGCGGTAAAGAACATCTTCAAGGGACCAGAAATTAAGGTCCTTGATGTTTCGCAGCTCACCACGCGAGTTATAAAACTGAGAACGGTACTTGCCGTCTCCTAGACGCATGGCGTCGGGTAATTCACCCATAAGCTCAGTCATTAAAGCTAAATGATCCTCATCACGCGAATAATTGTCACCCTTTCGAGGGTCAAAGAGAAACTCACCAGTGATCAATTCAAATATCATGCACGCGGCGGACCATAAATCAATTGGTGTGGAATACGGCTCCCCTAGAATCACCTCTGGGCAACGGTATTGGCGAGTCTGTACCTCATCTGTAAACTGTCGATACGTCCAGCAACTATTGCCGAAGTCTGCCAGTACAACGTGGTGGAGGCGCTCAATCTCCCAGTCCGAGTCTGTCTCACTTTCTACCGCCGTTATATCATGTCTTTCTTCTCTATCCGGCTCCTCAGAGTGTTCGTGACTTTTCTGTGATACATTGTGATCGTCATGCTCAGGAGAATTATCTGCAGCATTGCCATTCTTTTCGCTTGCCTTGAGTTTCTTGTAGTAACGTCGGCGTTGTGACTTGGTCATTGTCTTTGGATCGCGTTCAACCAGACGGGGCCTTTGATGTAATGGTGGGGGGTGAAACCGTTTCATCAATGATATCACAGCGTGTTTCGGTGTTGAAAGCAAAACATTTTCAGGCTTCAGGTCAGTGTGAATAATCTCAAGCGCATGTACATGCTCCAAGCCTACAAGGATCTGCCGCGAAATGCACTTTACTATTGGCAGGGGAACACCGCGGTACTCATATCGGTCAATAAGAGAGAGTAAATCTTCTCCGTATACGTCAAAAATCATACACACGTGAGTTCCGTTCGGACCTGTTTGTTCAAAATAGTCGTTCAAGCGAGTGCAGCAACGAGTTTTATCGGGATCTGCGGACATAATTTCCCCGAGAAGTTTAATCTCATCGTGTGCAGCCTCAGTATAATGACTGGCCGATTTCTGCACCTTCATTGCCTGATACCGTTCCTCCGCGTAGTCCCACACGAGCCAAACAGTGGAAAAATAACCCCACCCAAGTTTTTTCACGACACGGTAGCGGTCATGGTACACCTCGCCAACAGCCACAGGGTGGTATCCACCCTTACGGTACTCTGTCGCACGTTCATTAGCTGTGTCGCTGTAGTCTTCGCCGCTGCCCCCCTGATCCGCATCCGTTTCATCCTCATCCGCCTCATCAAAAGATTGGTCAGGTATGTTTTGCAACGGCTGCTGCTGACGCATCTTACTCGCTATATTATGAGCCTGCGCTGCCGTCATACCGGGCTTTAGTGTTAGTCCTTGAACATTCTTTGCGGGGTGCCGTTGCTTGAACCTCTTCGGTTGCACCTTTGGGGACTGTTTTTCCTCGGAGGGTTCATCGTGGTGCTCAATCTCCTCGACAATAGCGTTTATACCTGCATCCATCTTTATGTTGAGATATGGGTCTATGTGTTTTGTCTTCCGCTTGTTGGTACCGAATTTTTCCCCCTTCCTTGCGGGCCCCTTCCCGTCTCTCTTTTTTTTGTTAGCCTTCGGCATCCCCTCCCGCGGATATGTTACGTGGCGAGCCGGTTCACTTCACTTGCTGCAAACGTTTTAAAATACATAAATAAATGGGAGAGAGGGGAGAGAGAAAACGGAAAGAAACAAGGTTGTTCATGTGTCTTCCGTTTTCTTACCAGTACTTTCCTTCGTGTACGCATGTGGTTCTGCATAGTCATACACGTACGTGTACGTGTAAGTGTGCGTGTGTGTGTGTGTACATCTGTGCTTTGAGAAGCAAGAAAAGGGATACGAGATATCCACAGACCCCGTTTCCGCATCAATGTACAGCAAAGAGAAATGAGAATTAGTCTAAAGTACAACTGTCCTAGAATTTAAAAAAAGTGAGACGGGAACTACATCATCAAGCATCCGTTGGTTTCTGACAGTGTTGTAGCGCCTTGAGTAGCTCTCTTACTCTATTTTTTTCTTCGTCAGCCGTATCCCTGTTGCAATCATGCTCAGGGATTACCTCCGTCATTTTATTCGACAGAGCTGCGATTCGGCTACGTTGTTTTTCATCGAGTGTACATGAATCAAGAAAGGTACTTATTTCTTCGCTAGTTTGCAATATGACACGAGTGAGTTCATTAACTTTTAACCTTGCGGCTTCCAGCTGTGATTTTGCTTCATCATGCAGCATCTGTTCCTTCTTCAGCAGTGTCTCCAAGGTTCGATTGGCCTCAACATGCACAGTTACAAGATCGCGCTCACGCACCACTTCTGTGTAAAGCATTTCCAGGAGCTGTTCAATTTTTGGCGAACCTGAGGAGCCCACCACTGCTGTCGCGTAAAGTGGTGGCGTTTGCCCCGGTGATGAGCGACGAGGATCCAGGTTGGGGCTCCTGTAATGGTCCCCACGCGTCGGTGCGCGCAGCTCCTCCACTCCGTGAGCAAACGTACACCCTTTGAAGGTGCATGTCCCAGCCTCCCAATTGCGACACATCGTTGTCTTGTACCGCGTCGGGTCGGTGCCCACCTTCTTGATGGGTATGTTGTTGCTGTTATTGTTGCACACATCCTCTGTGCCAGAAAGGGAAAAGAGCGGCATGTTTTGGCGCGCTGCAGATTGCGGGAGCATCTGCGGTGAGACGTACGGCTGGGACACTGAGCTCCTCTGTGACAACAGAGGATTGCTAGCGCGAAGAGAGAAGGACATCGCTAATATAAAGCAGGAGTGATGGACAAAATTTAATTAAAGATCTACAGGGGGAAATCAGGAGTGTTAACACCAATGGGAAGGAATCCACAACAACAACACCTATCAGAGAAAAAAGTGTATGAGAATCCCAATCAGCTTCATCACAATCAGCATCATCACACTCCTGTTTTCTTCTTGTTTTCTTTTTTCGTACTCCTCTTTTTTTTTCTTTTTTCTTCCCCCGTGCAAGCACTGTCCCTAGCTAGCAGGCCTTTATTTTGAAATGGAGCGACACAAGGGCCAGCACCAGCGCCTTGATATCGCGCACAAAGTAGTAGAACGTCTCCAGCCCCTTCGGGTTGTCAGAGTTCTCAACTTCACTCAAAGATGTGATCTTGTTTGTCACCAAGGAGATATGGGTGTTGCCTAAGTGAATTTCCAGCTCCTGCCGCCCGTTTCGGTCCGGCTGCGGCCACCGTTCGTCGTCGCTCTCAAGAACCGAAGAGGAGATGATGAGCCGTTTGATCTCCTCCAACACCGCCGGGGACACTCGGGCCTGTTTCTTGATGATATTCTCATTCCTGTACCGACTGTTGTTGCCGTACTTCAGGGTTCCATCGTCGCGGATATCGAACTCCAGAAACTCATTGCCATAACGGCCAGTGTGGCCGGCGAAGTAGCGGATGTGGTGCAGATGAGACTGCATGTTCTCTTCGGAACCGACCGCCTCCTCAGGCCCCATCTCTGTGATCATCTTCTCTTCGAAGAGAAGAAAGAACGCCCATAAAGAAAGCGAACAAAAAAAAATGCACAAAGAGCAGAATATCAGGGATCAAAGCAGCAAAAAGTACATTGCGTACGCCAGCATCATAGTCTACAGGGGGAAAAAAAAATCAAGAGGTTTGATCCACGAGTTATGGTTGTCAAGAATGCCTCGGCGCTCCTTTTTTGTGTGTATCGGTCCCTGTCACTTTGGTTGCTAAACGCACTCTAACCGCTCATCCTTTCATTCATACAGTCCCACTTTCCCTTATTTGAAACACACAAAACAACGATAAAAAAATACATTCCTTCTCCCAGAAGCAACGCTACCTAGACGTGTAGCTCCTTTTTTTCTGTTTTATCTTTATTTCTTTCGCTATTGCCCGTTTTTTTTTTTTTTATCGTACATCTTCGTTTGTCTTTGCGCCGGCATGGCAGTTATTCATCGAAAGAACAAAAAAATTATCATAGAAGTTTCAGTAAAGAGAGGGACACGAGAAAAACAAAAACAAAAACACAATACTACACATTTTCGTTCGTCGTCTTCGTATTCGCACGGCACCCCCACGTACAGAGACAGTCGTGTGGGTATAAAGTGGGGAGGTAGAGAACCTTGTCAGAGTTTGCTGTGCGTGTTCGCACCCACTCGGTACAGCGGGAAATTAACGCCAGGTAGACCGTGAGGTGGTTAATAGCATAGTTATAGCCGACACAACGGTGGGGACCAACACCAAAGGGAATGAACTGCTTAGCAAATTTGCGATCCTCTTGACGCTCTGGGCCCATGCGATCTGGATCATACACATCGGGCTTCGTAAAACCCTCACGACAACTCCCAACAAGTGACGGTATGATGAGGCTGCCTTTGGGTACAGTGAATTTGTCATCAATTGTAAAGTCAGAGTGAGCCTTCATGGGGACCATCGGTGCAGGCGGGAACAGACGCAACTGCTCCAGAACACATTGGCGAGTAAAAGTCATTTCTTGCACCAAATCATACGTCAACGGTGCGTCACCTGCACACAGCTTGTCTTGCTCTTTACGTACGCGCTCCAATATATCAGGACGATCGGCCATTGTTGCCGTTATCATGGCTAGACTCGCAGTGGACGCATCCTGTGAGGCAAACAGGAAGTCCAACATGGTATCTGCCATTGCATGGTCCGAGGTGTAGGCTGGCGGTTCAACACCCTCCTCTTCGCAACTCTTCACAGTTTCTAGGACTGTTGCAGTCCAGAAATCAAGAAGACAATGGGCCTCAGCGCCCGGCTGAGACATGCGAGCCTTGCTCCGGCTCACAGCAGCTTGTAGCTCACCCATGGCCTTCTTACGGGCGTGAACAGCTTTGTAAAGTGCCGTGCCAGGAAAATATATTGGGGCCGAGAGGAATCCCACCGTTATTGTGTTGTAATTTCGGGTAAACTCCTCACGATTGTGGAGATGCTCACCGAGAAAAACTGTCTGGGATGTCAAACAGTTCATGTCGCGTATGTGTGATCGCATCTCCTCTGGTTTGCCCCCGTGAGGGTACTTCTCTACCCATTCTGTCATGTACTCACGGATGATACGCTCTTGAATGGGTAGGTACAGAGAAAGTGCCTTCGTAGTAAAGAGATTCATAAAGCTGGCACGAAGAGCCTTGTGCTGTGGGCCACTCTGGAACGCTATATTATTGTCCCCGAGGATAACTTTTCCATTGGGGTGCAGCTGTAGTGTCAGTGTGGTATCACTGTTGGAGGCAAATATTTTATGACACAAGTCAGCGCGTGTGACAAAGACGACAAACTGTGTCAGAATGGCCTGCCAGCTGTAGCCACTTGGATTGTACAAACGTTGCTTTTCCCAAAAAGTGTAGGGATCCTTAATCATCATGAGCAATCCACCAAGAAGTGGTGTCACAAAGGTAGGTCCTGACACGAGGAATTTGTGCTTCTGGGCAAAGTATAGCATTGTCAGCACATAGGCAGCACCATAGGCTATCAACGCCAATATAGCAAATTCGGCGAGGTACGGAATCCTCATCCCCACAAGAGTACTGATCACGGCCATTTTTCGCGGTAGAAAGACGTCCAATAAGTTCCCTGCAAGATAGTCAAAGGTAGAGAAAGAAAGAAAAAAAAGTAAAGGGGAAAAAAGAAAAACGACAGCTGTAAGAAACATACAGCAAAATACGACTTCCTTGTTAACAGAGATTCAACAGAAAGAAAGCAGGAATTCTTCCTTTTTCACCCATGTAGAACCAGCTCATCCTTCCCTGGAATGCTGTAACGACTCGTGGCGTTTTATCACGCTGTGCGTCGCCTTCCAGCCCTGTGCGGCCCAATGGTCGCCCCCTCCCGCCTCCGCCTTAGCCGTGCGCCGGAAGAATGCCACAACAGCCTTCGCCTCGCGTGTACACCGCAGTTGTGAGAGGCTCAGCACCAAATGTGAGAAGCAAGTTAGTGCTAGCGGTGTCATCTTCGCGGTGCTTGCCACCATCCGCCCCTTATGCTCCACCCAGTTCAAGCCATCGGGCTCGAGCAGCAAGACACTGCGCTTTTCTCCGCCACACGCTGTCAAGCACTTCTCATGCATACGCAGACCGAAGAGTTCGACAAAGCACCGAAGTCCACACATCACATTACGCAAAGCTGCCTCATCATTGGAGCATTTTTGTATCTCCCCCCATTCATATTTTTCGACACACGTCGGCGGCTGCAAAGAAAAATACACTGCTGGGAAAACATAAAGAAATAACTCGGGTAGAGTAGGGTTGTCGTTGCAATTGTTGGTGTTCATGCGGAGAAACGCAGATGAAAGCATTTCCCACCATCTGCTGCACTCCCCCTCGAAAAGATCTGAGATGAAGAGAGCATGGCCAGAATAGCTGGGCCCCAACTGCATCAGTACAACAGAAGGGAAGGGTGACGCACCCGTAAGAACCGCGTGAAACTCATGCTGTTGTGACACCTTTGCCGCAATAATGTTACCTTTCTCCACTAACCGCTGTGTCACTCGAAGTTGGCGCAACCGTCTCTTCTCTTGACACTCTTTAATGTGGCCAAGTCTGGATTTGGATCCTAAGATGTGCTCTTCGAGACGCAGATTAAGAATCTCTCGTGCTGCTCTGCGGTTAAGCCAGTACGATGGGAACTTGCTGAACTTCACAACAATTCCTGTTGGAATGTGCTTTATTATTGCAGTTTGCATTCGTCGGTTGGTTGCCTGTCCACCAGGTCCACGGCCAAGTGTGCTTTGTTCGCACAGGTCTTCCTCCTTGAAGTAAAAATACTTCTCAAAAAGATGGCTCCTGTAGGTGGGAAGGTTACAAGAACGGCGTCCACAACGTCGATTAAGAGCACGCATGACATCCAGTTTGTCGCGGGGGTGCAATCTTTCAAATGACGCAGTTGCTTCTTCTTTAGTAACTGACTTTAACGAAGTGATGATGTCGTAAATGTGTTTGGATCGTCCTCTCGTATTGGCCGCGGAGTACCGTTTGCGACTGAGGCGCTTTACACCAACAGAGGGGTCAGTGTTTTCGGAGTTTGTCAAGGCAGCACCGAGGGGTCTCCTGCACTCCATAGAGCTGTACATCCTTATAATTGGGCGTCGCGGCAGTCGACCAGCGGCATGAACGCCAGCCAGGCTGTATCTCGCCATCATGACCTACCACAGAATGCGGAAGCAAGGCCCAATATAGTACACTTCAGAACACCTACTTGGCAAGGTCAATAAAAAGGTATCTAGGACACCCTATTGTGTGAATTACTGCAAACCATACGGCATATTCTGGCGAGGGCCCTCCTCTGGGTGTTTGGGCCTCTCAAGTTCCAGGTCCGGCAACGCAAAGTCTTGCATTTCATACTGGCGATCAAATGGTCCTGTTCGCGTCAGCACTTTTCGCTTACTCCACTTGTCTACAAATATACCACTCTGTGGAAACGGACCCTTCCATGGTGCGAGAGTATCCATCAGCACCACGTCACTATACTCTTCTCCAAAGAGCTCATTCGTTCCGCCACGATAGTTGTAAACGTGCTGGAAAAACTGCTTCTTCCATTCCCATCCGGCTTGTTCGGAATAAAGGCCATTATGGGACACAAGGATGACGTCATCAGATTTACGCGGCTTGTGAAACCCATACATATCGGCAAACTCCTCGGGGGTGAGCTGAAGAGCATACTCCACCTCGTCGCGGGGGAGCCACCAGCTATGGGGGACCCACCGATGCATCTTTCCAGGGGTTGTCCTGCAGTCGATAATGAACGTGTACGGCTCAGGGTACCGTGCGAGGTGAAGAATGTCTTTAAGGTATACTTGGTGGCAAAGCAAGTGATGAAAATGTGCATACTGTTGCTGCTCGTAGAGAAACTTATGACGATCAAAGTACCACGGCTGATACTCTTTCGGGTGCCAGTTAAACCACTCACGAGGATTAATTTGTCCATCAACCATCATGTGATGGCGAGTGCGACGATCAGCCTGTCGCCTAATACACGAACTAAACATGATCACACACAATGGGTTTCTTATGTTTATCAAAACAAATATTAAATCCAAAAAAAAAAAGAATGCAAACAAGGAATAAGCGGTAGAGTAAGCTGCAGGATTCAAACCCCAATAAGTCCATTCTAGGCAATGCACGAAACTTAACTTTGTGGTTATAATCTGCTACCAGATGTTATATATTTATATATATATATATATATATATATACGGGACAAAAGGAAATGAAAATTTTATTTCTGGTGTGGATGCTTGTTACCATGCATTGCCACAACATTAAAACAGAAAGAGTGTAGGAGCATATAAAAAAAAACAATCACAGTACCTTACTTAGTGTAGCTTAGCATGACACATCAAGCTTCTTGGGAAGCTCCCACGTGAAACCGCCCTTTCCGGTCGTGTCTTCACGGCCAAAGTGACCAAAACGGGAGGTCATATGATATATGGGCCGACGGAGGTTAAGCTCCTTAATAATATCGTAGGGACGCAGCTTAAAGTTCTTTTTTACTATATCAAGAATACGAGCATCGTCATACTTGCCAGTACCATAAGTCTCGATGTGGATGCTCAGCGGCTCCGCAACACCAATGGCGTATGCCAACTGAACAAGGCATCGCTTCGCAAGGCCTGCAGCCACAAGTGACTTTGCGATCCAACGAGCAGCGTACGCAGCGGAGCGATCCACCTTTGAGGGGTCCTTTCCTGAGAAAGCACCACCACCGTGAGCACCCCAACCGCCGTACGTGTCGACGATAATTTTGCGGCCGGTGAGACCAGCATCACCGTGAGGGCCCCCAATAACAAACCGCCCGGAGGGGTTCAGGTGGTATTTTGTGTCGGCGTCAAGCATGTTGGCAGGAATCACTGCCCTGATCACCTTTTCCATGAGGTCGGCACGGATGGTCTCGTTGGACACGTGGGCGTCGTGTTGAGCAGATATCAAAACCACAGCCACACGCTGGGGCGTCAGCAACTGCTTGCCGTCGCGCGTATCATACTCATACTCAACCGTTACCTGTGTCTTCGCGTCAGGGCGAGCCCATGGAAGTGTGCCATCACGGCGAAGCTCACTGTATTTCACGGCGAGACCGCGCGCCAGCTCGTACGTCAGGGGCATCAGAGTCTTCGTCTCATCAGTTGCATAGCCAAACATCATGCCCTGATCGCCGGCACCAAGGTTCTCACCGTCAAAGTCACCGAGGCCCTGGAAAATCTCGGGCGACTGTTGCTCGATGGCGATAAGCAGGTTGCACGAGCGGTAGTCCAGGCCCTTCTCCCCATCGTCAAACCCAATATCCCTCACGGCATCCCGGACCACCTTCTGGTAGTCAAGCACCGTCTTCGTGGTGATCTCACCAAAGATCATGATCATTCCCGTCTTGGAGCACGTCTCACACGCAACCTTTGCGAGTGGATCATGCTCTAGGCACGCGTCCAACACAGCGTCTGATACCTGATCACAGAGCTTGTCAGGGTGTCCCTCACTCACATGCTCTGAAGAGAAGAGAATCTGGCGCACGGACATTGTGGTCGAAGAATGCGGAGGGAAATAAAAAGAAAAAAAAAGCACGCTGTAGCTCCTAGAGTAAAATGACAAAAAAAGAGAAACGGAAAAATAGGGGAAAGTTTTTACAAAATAAAGTCACGAACTCCGAAAGTAATCCCATTTTTTTTTTCGATTTGTGGTGTAAATCTCTTAGGGGGGAAGCAGCCAAGAGGTGTGATCATACTGTAACAGTAACAGAAATCGCCTTCTTCTGGCGCAGGACAAGAAGTTCCAGTGTCTTGGGGTGTCCCTTCAACTCGGCTCTGGCACCCTCGAGAGTGGCAACCGACCGTTTGTTGATAGAGAGTATCACATCACCAGACCTCACTAAAGGAAAGGCAGGGGCCAGGGATTGGATTACCCGCACCTGGTAGTAGTGCTCCTTCAGCGTGTGTCCTCCACGGTTCAGCAAGCGGCCGTCGCTGACAACAAGACCATAAAATTCCTCAGGCGGCGCCAGTATCCTTGGTGAGTGGTCACACGCTGAAGGGGAAAGGAGCATACGAGCAAGATCTGTGCAGTGCAGGGAATGTATTACCAACATCAACTCTTTTTGTATGCGGGAATGTTCCACGCCATACAACCCAAATAGTTTTAGGCGCACACTGTAGTAGTTTTGGAAAAAGGATGTGAATGAATCACACCGACTTAAGAAAATCTTTGTTTTTGCTCCGTCAAGAGAGGTTGTGCTTGTCTGTGACGAAGCCCTTCTCAAATCACAGCCCGCCTCATGTATTTCCGCGGCATCGTCCAATGCAGCAGAGAAGGTAGCTAGCAATACCTCTTTGCGTTTGAGGAATAATCGGTAAGATTGCAGAATGTTTGAGCTATTTGTCAGGAGCCGCATAAGACTAATGTAGTGCATCATGTTCTCCTCCCCCATGAGATATCCAATCGTACGGAGAAGTAAAAGCGACTGCGCCCAGAATGTGCTGTCTTCAACGAGACCTATTTGTCTTCTACATGACTCCTCTGACGATATGAGTTCATTCATCGCCCACTGCTATGGACTACGCCAGTCAAACAACAAAAAAAAAATGGCAGAGAATGCAATGAACCCCAGGTATCGCCTGGAAACAAGAGAACGAAGGCCACAATCATCATGAGAGAGGACTAATCAACAAGACATCACATAGCAATTATTCAACAGCAATGACGTCAGCAACTTGTCTCCTGCTTTCCCGCTTCCAGATAGCACGGAGAGGCTCACCAGATGGTGTCTCTACAACATAGTCCACTTTACTCAAGAGGGTATGATATCTTTCCAGCCATTCCTTTAGCCTGTAGTTCACCATGATCGTCTGCGGCCTGGTCGGCGCCCAGCAAAGTGGGCAGTTCCACACGTTCGTGCGGGCGCAATGGGTGAGCAAGGAGCAGAGTTCCATACACTGCATATGCTCGCATAAAAACCCTCGCACGGGTACTTTCAGTGGAAGCGTCGTAAGGGGGCAAACAATTTTCACATGTACCCCAACGACATCGACACGTTCTTTGCGGCGGGGTGGGACCTGGTAATTGGACACAACCCTATCAGCTAGCACATCCATGTCAACAGTGTCCACATATACGGCGGCAATCACGCCACCCCAAAGTGTTGTGTCTTCAATGAACCCCGTGAAATCAACGGCGAGTGAAAACAACTCTTCGCGTAACACAAGAGAGGTTATATCAGCCGCTGGGGCTGTCTTTACAGCCATAGTTTCCTTTCCTGAAGGCAAGGAAGGATTACTTGGTATCTCTACCACAGCACCGTTGACGGCGAGTGTCATCGCGACAGTGGCTCCTTCATATTCAAAGGGCATCATCCACCCATCGGTGTGATCGAACGTGGGAGTCGACAATGCGACAAGTAACACGCGCCGCGACGGAGGAAAGCCACCATCCGGGACCTCATGTAGAGCCAATGGCGAAGGCAATGTCGTCTCCACAGGATCACCATCCACCACCACAGCGCCCAGCACCTCCAGGTATCGGTACAGCGGTGATAACACATATCGTTCCTTGTTCTCAAATACCTCCTTGCGCAGTACATCCAGCGCGGCAGAGTCAAAAGGCTCCTGGAACTTCCGTTCTATCTTTGCCGTCATCACTGCCACTGGTTGCGATGCTGAGAGCGGCGGCACAGCAGGCGGAGCGGGAGAATTGATGTAGGAGCTCCGGGTGGGCGGCGGCGGCGGCGGCAGAGGCGGAGTGACCCCGCTCAGCACACGGGGCATCGTCACCTCCGCTGAAGGTATGGTTCTTTTACGTTTTCTCCGTTCTTTCTCGGCAATTTTTTTAACATTCTTTGACGAGAGATCAATTCCTTCGTTTTTCAGCAACGCCTGCCGCAGCTGCGAGGCAGTGTCGTGGTTAACCGTCCCAAGAAGGGCAGACATACACCGCAACTCTGCCGCGCTGTACGTCTGAATAATATCCAGTGGAGGTGCGCTACGGCCAGAGTCTAACAACGCCTGCTGCACTGCCTTCTTTGTCACCTCCACGAGAAACAGTCCCCGCTCCTCGTTGTCCCGTTCCGCCTCCAAGACGTGAAATTGGCGCACACCGTTGTCCCCTGAGGCTACAGGATAGAGATTTTCACGATCATGATAAAACTCCACACACATATCGTACTCTCCCCCAACCTCGAGGAACGACTCCTTGTTCGCCTCACGCACCACTGCTGGCCACCACTCCCCGTCATCGCATCTGACCCAGACCGGCGACCCCGGTGGGTACTTCATACAGTCTACACAGCAGAGCAAACTCTCTGCAGAAAACTGCACAGAAAAAAAAAAGGAATGAGAGCGTGCGACAATTTCCACAGCGCATGCGCTTTTTTCTTGTGTCTGGAGGCACGTAAATTGGTCTTCAAAGGCAACTTTTGGAAGCATCGGGGATTACGCGCGCATACACCAACAAACCAAAAAAAACAACAAGAAAACAGAAGTGTGGGTGGCATCTAGTCATCTAATAAACCAATCTAACTCATTACATAAACCGCTTCTATTTGTGGAAAAGTTTAGACCTCCCATAAACACATTGACTGGGACCCACATGCACGAAGCCCAACTCACGCTTGTATTGATTCTCTTCTTCCACCGTAAAAGTATCGTTCCGCCAGTCGCCACTACCACCGCGAACAGCAGCCAGAGATTCGAGGGCTTTGGGGTATTTGGCGAAGATAGCATGTAGTGGTAACTCCTCTGGATTCTGAGCGAAAATAAGATCAGGGTCTACGCATTCTTGGGCAGCCACTCGTTTCGCCGTTAAGTGCGCTACCTTTGAACGACTGGTACTCTTTAGTGACGCATTGGTGGGAACAGAAGACGGCCACTCCGTTCTGTTTTTTCGTAGTTGAGCAAACGGGGAAACACTTCCCTGTCGTGCTGCGGTATTTGGCGCAACAGGGATAGGTGAGTCGACAGCAGCCGAAGACATATCTTTTCCATTAGGTGTGCGACACACCTGCGCCCTTGTATCAGCTGCCGCAAGAACTGCAGTTTGAGGTTGATTGGCTGTACGAGAAAACGAATTCTGCCCCTTCACTGGAGTCGCACCGTATAGCTTAGATGCCGTATTAACGTTTTGAGAAGTTAGAGCAGCGTTGGGCCCGTTCCGGACGTAAGACGACAGCATCTTGGTACACTGATCGTATTTCTCCATGTACAGATCCACAGAAAGGGTTGGTGGTGGGGGAAGCAGCATCGATACATCCTCGCCCTTGATGTACTGCCGAAACAGTAACTCTTCCACCAGCTGAGAGCTCCACGCCGCGCTCATGGCAAGTGCCCCTTTTACAGACTTCTCAAAGGGGGGGGGGGGGGAG